TTTTGGCTCGAGACAGTGATTAATGTTTAAATATATTCTTCTTTCTTGGATTACAATATGTTTTTATGTTTTAATATTTCATTTTATTTTTCCCAAATACCAATTTAGTAACATATTTTTAGTTGAAAAATTCTAACTATAGTGAATTTTGGAGCATTTTGCTTTTTTTTTTCCTGTCATCCTCAACGTTAACAAGTAACAATATTACTTTCAAAGGACTTTATTTTTGAATAGTACATGCTAATTTACCATAACAAAGAAAAGTAAAAAAAATACGACAATATTTTTGAATAGAACATCCTAATTTATATTGAAATGATGTTGAATCGTGACCTCGTATATTCACAGCCTCTAATAACTACATCTTAGTCTCAGTCACGGTCGTAATCATCAACAAATACTGCTTCCAATCCTTAAGAGCGGCTTTAAGATCCTTTAACCAACACAACAATTTGTATGCATAGTATTAAGTATTAACCACGTTGATGTTTCGGCTCGGTTGACAAAACCCATCAAAGTAAACCGTGTCTAAGAACCACATCGTGATCCCGAGTTCTGCAATGAATGGTTCGTTCTTGATGAAGTTGAAAACATCTTGGTCGTGTCTTCTTGGGAATCTCTAGCTGGAGTTGCACTATATTATAAAAGTCGTGGCACGTGTCCTATACTGATTTATAAAGTTTTCTATTATTTTTTTTTTTAACTTTAAGTTTTCTATTATTGGGGGTTGAGAATCTTGGGACAGTTGGTTATTGATATGTACACAAAATTTCTTAGGTGAAGAGTTCTACGTTGGAAAAGAACCGGGGAAATGGATCCCGGAGCCATAAGATATCTGCATCCCTGTATATTAAAAAAAAAAACAAATAATATCATTACGTATGCATCACGCATGCGCATGTAAATTAAATTTAAACCTATCCAAACGAAAACTGATCTAAATAAACAATGGTTGGTTTTAAGTGGTCACCTGTCGAAGTTTAGTGGGAGTTATGGACCTATGGTTTATAGATTTTGATCCAAAATAATATTCTCAAATTTAAACAAAATCACATATTATTGGATCATTGATTTCAAAATTATATGTTATTGGTATAATTAAATTCAAGTGTTATTCAAAACCAATTGCAAAAAAAAGTGTTATTCAAAACGATTCTTTAATAACATTCTTCTAATAAATGTTAAAAAAAAAATTCTTCTAATTAAACCAAATAACCCAGAAGCAAATTCTGTTGGAAATTAAGTGAACTAGATTTGATCCGCGCGTTGCGTAGAGTTATTTGTTAATCAATTTTTGTACTTTATAATTTTATATATTTATATTATTACTATGTTTTTTAATTTAATTTGTTTTATATTTATTTTGTTTTATAGTTATTTTTAATTTTTTAATTAAAATTATTTTTATTATAAAACATATAGATATATTATGAAGTTATTAACATGTGCTAATTGTTTAAAAACTTCATCTATATTTATATAATGTCATAAGTATTTAAGTTTTCTACTACATATATCTCTATTCAATTGATTTCTACCTTTTTTATATTGCTTATTTTCAGCGAGATCAACAATCTCAGTGCTTTAAATTGAATAACTTCTTCATTTTTCATGAGTTTTATAAAATTCTAACTCATTCTGAAGCACAAATAGTCATGTATTTATTATTATTATTTTCTTCATATAGATCAAGTTCATTTCATGATATATGATTAAACACTTTAGTCTTCTTTATTCATATAAAATCTTTATTTATTTTCACAATAAAATAAATATGAATAATTTTACTTTACTTTTATACATATATCTTTTCGGTTTTTCTTTTTAAGTTTGAAGTCCATAAAGAAAAGATCACAATATGTAGAAGTCAATAAAGAAAAAAACTACTTGCTGAGCTGTACAGCTTCATTGGAGAGAAACTTTTTATAAATCATTCTCAATCACAACAGTCCTAAATCTTTTTTTTTCTTTTGTATAGTTTTTTTTTGTCGTCACTCTATAGATCAAGTTTATTTTTATGGTACATGATTTTAAACTTTAGTCTTTTTTTCGCAGCAAAACTTTAGTCTTTTTTTATGAAAAACCTTCATTCATTTTACAACGTAAAGTATGATGATTTTATTTTATTTTTCTGCATACATTTCTCTAAATATTTTTTTTTAAACTTCAACAACTATTCTGTGCAAGCTCTTTCATTATTCGATTTTAACATCTGTTATTACATCCTGTTTGTTTCTTATTAGAATTAGCATACTTTTTTTATAAAAAAACATACAACTTTTGTATTTTGTAAAATTGGTATTTTGTTTTTTAAGTTAATGTCTTAAAAGGCCCAAAAAACCTGCATAAAAATAAACTCATATTAGTTAATATTATGTGAAAACCCAAAATATTTAAAAGCCCAAAAAATTAAAATTAAAATGCTGATGTGGACACCCTAGATGGAGAGAAACTTCTCTAATTATATATATGATTCGTGCAACCGTTGACGAACTGTTGGAACTGCTTAAATGAACATTTGTAACCATTTAAATGAATCATTGCAATTGTTGGGTTTATGGTTACAACCTTCGGTAACTAACCATTGCAACTGTTGGGTTTGTGGTTATAATCTTCGGTGACTAACCATTGCAACTGTTGGTGATCAACCATTGCAACCTGATCAACCATTGTGACCTTTTGAAGTGACTTTTAGTTTTCTATATAAGGAGTTGTGGGCATTACCAAAATCACAACAACAAAAACAGAAAGCAAACAGAAACAGAGAAAATAAGAAAGAAATAGAGAGAGAGAGAGTTTCACTGTTCCAAAAGATCATAAAGATCTTTGGAAAAACACATATCAACACTAGATCTCTAGTGTGTGACTTGTATCTTAGCCTAGAACAAGAGAGACTTTTGGTTGTCTTATCCTACAAGGGATTTTGTGTAACCCAAGGCTTGATAAGGGTTGAAATACTCTTTAAGAAAAGTGTCCTCGTGTGCGATTTAATCATTATCCAAGTTCACAAATCATCATTCGGGTTACCAGAAACCAACAATCTTAAAGAGTGATTTCTTGTGAACTATGACTAGTGTGTCTGTGCGAGAGATGACATCCAAGTTTGGAAAACTGGATAAGTTTGAGGGAGTAGATTTTCGAAGATGGCAAAAGAAGATGCATTTCCTCCTCACAACGCTTAACATAGTGTATGTTCTAAGCATGACAATGCCTACTGTGCCAGAGGATGATGAGAACGAGTCTGTGGAGGAGACAAGGAAGCTACTTAAATGGGAAAACGACGATTACATATGTCGTGGCCACATTCTAAACTGTATGTCAGATCCACTCTTTGATGTTTATCAGAATGTTGAATCTGCAAAAGAGTTGTGGGATGCATTAGATACAAAGTACATGGCTCAGGATGCTTCTAGTAAGAAGTTACTTATGAGTAATTTTAATAATTACAAGATGTCTGATTCTAGACCGGTTATGGAGAAATACAATGAATTGCTTCACATCCTTGGGCAATTCGCCCAACACAACATGAAGATAGATGAATCCATCTCAGTATCGAGTATCATCGAGAAGTTACCACATTCATGGAAGGATTTTAAACACATGTTGAAACACAAAAAGGAAGAGTTGTCACTTGTACAACTTGGCAGCCATTTGCGCATATAGGAATCTCTATGAGCGCATGAGGGAGAAAAACCCAAGGAGGCTGGATATTCTTCCATCAATATGATGGAGGTAATTGGGAGTTCTAAGATGAATAATAAAGGGACGAAACACCCCTCTAATAACAACACTAACTATAGATCTAACAAAAGGCTTAAGAGCGTTTGTTGGAATTATAATAAGCCTGGTCACTTGAGACGTGATTGTCGGGCAGGAAAGGATAAGAACATAACGGGACAAAACCATTTGGAGCAAGGGTCTAAGGACCAAGGCCCATCCACTCATCAAGGTCAGATCTCTGCTTTTGATTCATATTCTAATCTGGACTATGTGTCAAAGATTTCTGAGGCATTTTATGTGCAGGATGATGAAGTGACGTGGTGGATTGACTCGGGTGCAACAACACATGTTTGCAAAGATCGTGGATCGTTCAAGACATATGAACCTGTTCAAGATGGATCTGTTCTTCATATGAGAAATGAGTCAGCTGCCCCTACCCAAGGTAGTGGAAAAGTGATGTTGGAATTTAGTTCTGGAAAAACTATTAATCTTGAGAATGTACTTCATGTACCCGGAATTAGAAAAAACTTACTCTCTCGTAGTGTTTTAAATAAGTGTGGTTATCAACAAGTATATAAATCCGTTAAGTATGTCTTATCGAAGTGTGGTGTATTTGTTAGATTTGGATATTTCTGTAATGGCATGTTTATGCTTAATAGTAATAAAGTTATCAATTCTATGTATATTACAAGTTCTAGTAAAAACAATACTTCTCTATGGTACACTAGATTAGATCATGTACATTATAAGCGTATGATTGATATGTCTAAAAAAGGATTAATTCCTACTTTTGATATGAATATAGAAAAGTGTAGTACTTGCATGTTAAATTACGTCCTTTAACAATATTGCTCATTTGGTATAGAACTCGTTTAGATCATATTCAGGCCTGACCCAATTTTATACCGTACCTTGGGCCAGAAAAAAAAATGAACCTATGAATATTTTCATTTTTTTTTAAACGGGCCCTTAAATATAAAGAAAATTTGCCAAAATTCAAATAGACCATGTATATTTGCACCTTGGGCACATGCCCACAACAGGGCCTGATTATATTGCTCATTTGGTATTATTGATAAGTAGGTGCAATAAAAATTTTGGGTTTGATTTAGATAATGGCAATCATAAGTATACCGGCATGATCTTACATATAAAATTACCTTTTGGAACTACACATGTATAATAATTGATATACTATTACATCCACTGTGTATAAAACTATTTCTCATGAAGACTAAATCTATAAATAATGGAAGTTAATATACCATCACATACAGTGATTATTGTTGCATGAAACAACCATCAATCTCGTTACCATTGCTCGACTTTCCATATACGTTATTGCATTCAACGATGGGCTTCTTTCCATTGACCGTTGTAATATCGATTTGATCTAGAATGATATTTTTGCAATATGTGACTTTGCTGCAATCTATCTTCACAATCTCATCGAGTTGTGACGTTCCATGAATATCTGTGAATGTCACGTTGCTAATTGCCACTGCTGATTTCTGTTAACATAAATTATACTCCAAAATATCAACACAATTATAGATCAAAGACTTTTAAATTTTACAAAAAGGAAAGATATTTACCTCAACGTCAAGAATACGTCCCTTATCTATGTAATTTTGGTTGATTATAATCGGATTTTTTGTGTCTATGAGATTGATGTTCTTAAAAGCTATATTTCTTGCATATCCTTTTCCATTCTAAACAATCAAATAAAATATCAGAAAAAATTAAATCACTATTAACACTTCATTTACATTTTATACAAACAAATATAATTAAAAAATCCTTACCGGCCATGTCTTAATTCTTGCCCCATTATCCGTCTTATTGAAAGTGCAGTCAGTCACTAAGACATTTTCAACTTCGGATTCTTCGCCATTTCTTCCAAGACTTCCCACACTGAAATTTAATTAGAAAGATAGAGAACAAAATTCATTATGTAATTGAAGAAATTAATACTTATATAGTTGCGTTAATACATATAAATATATATAAATACCTTATTCCATGCCCAGGACCACAAAACATCCTTGTGATGTAGATATTTATGCTTCCAGTGTTTATAGCTACACAATCATCTCCTGAAAAGATTTAAAATTTTGAAACTCAAATAACCTTGTTGCCATTTTGATATTGAAAATCTAATGGTTGCAAAACGAGAGATAACTAACTACGTACCAGTTCCAATGATAGTGTCGAATATGTTGACATTACTTGAACCTGAGATATCAACTCCGTCGGTGTTAGGACTCAGATCGGGTGCAACAAGTTTTATCTTCGTTATGACAACATTTTTGCAATTGCTGATTGAAATATGATTTTTTGGGCTATTGACTGAAGTTATTCCAGTTATCTGAAGATTACTGCATCCTTGAAAATGCAATTGCTACAAGAAAAATAGAAAAAACATATTTCGTTATAACCTTTTTCGTTACAGAATTTAGAGTCAATTTAGTGGAAAATATATATATACTCACAGTAGGCCGTTGAGTAGCAGACAACTTTGGCTGGATATATAAAAAAAAAATATAAGAACAATATTAAATTCACATTTAATATATGTAATTAAATCAATTTTAGATCTTCAATTATATATAAACAAAAATACTCACCTTCCTAAAAGAAGAACCACGTCCATTGATTGTTCCCGAGCCAGTGACTCTTAAACCAATTATGCCACTAAAAGCAATGCATTTGCCTTAGAGTCTGACCATGCTGCTTTGTTGATAGGGGCAATGATATTTCCATCAAACTGCAAAATTGATTACATATACATTTTATATCCACACATATTTTTGTCATCACGTAAATTTGTAAATAAAAGTATTTATTTTTTGATAATAATACCTGAACTTGTACAGAAGGTGATTTACAAGGGCCTTGGAACACTAGAGGTTGTAGTAAGAAAATATTATTTGAAGGAATAAGGAGTGTTTTGTTCCCTCCACCGCAACAACATATAGCTTTCCATGCTTCTACAAAAGCCTTTTCCACACCCCAAAAAAAAAAAAATCAAATTTATAAAATTTGTCAAGGACTAACTAAAATTTATATCAAATTATGATCTACATATAGGAAAAAGGCAATGATAGAAATAAAAATAATAGTAATGCATACTCAAATTTTGGCTTCATTGAACGTTTTTTTTAATATAAAGTAGTGAATGAATCTTAAAGCAATTTTGATGAGAAATTTCATGACATCTTAAACGCTCTTTACAAGCTTGAAACATAACCAGTCTTTTAGCATGTTCAATTACTGTATTTGAATATGATTCCAATTCATGATTTGTTTTTACTACAAGAAAACTATAAGTGTGTGTTGTATATACAAATTTTCTTTCTCGTTAATATACGATTAGTAAAAAATTGCATTTAAACTTTAAACTATTTAAAAATCTGAATAATATTTTGAAGTATGGTACCTCTGAATCATCGGTTGTGCCATCTCCCTTAGCACCAAATTTAAGCACATCATAGATTTGGCCATTTGCAAGACCAAAACAGAGTATAGTCAACACGAACACAACATGCATGATTTCCTACAACATCCAAAAGTAATATTGTTAGAAGCCTTTAACAAAAAATATTATGGTTAGGGGAAAATATAACATAGTGCTTAGTTAAAGAGAGACTTTATTTGAATTCGCATGTACCATTGTGTGATGATGACAGATGACTGGATGTAAGGTAAAGTGTGTATATTTATGGGTTATTTTTCACGTATTTATACACTTACAAAACATGAATGTAGTTTAAACTTCACATACTGTATGTTACTTATTCCCAAGATTTTATGAATCTTTTTTTTTTTGTTAACCAAAATTTTATGACTTTTATAAATATTTGTGTGGATATAAGGTCTATTTTCTATCTTATTAGATTAAATTTAGATGCAAAATGAAATGAACAAAAAAAATGAAACTTAAAAGGAAAGCAATGAAAAAATACAAGTTTAAAGGGAAATGAATATACATAAATCAAGGGAAAATAAATAAAATACACACTGAAAATTCCGTATACAAAACTAAATTTAGATGCATTTATTGTTTATTAATATTGATTAGTATAAACAAATTTAATGAATCATTACGTTCTTAATTTACCCTGATTATTACATAATGATAAATAAATCTTGAAGAAAAAAAAATTTAAGCATATTGAATTGATTAATGCCTTGCCTTTTTCAACATTTGAAGCTATGTAAGTCCAATAATTCCTTTTTATTATTCATGTAGCGTTTATTCGCGATTTAATGTGTTTATTCATGATTTAATGTATTTTTTATTATTTAACGTCTAATTTAACTAGAAACCGAATTACAAATTTTATAATGTAAAGCTTCGGTGATATTGTTTGGAACATAGAAGTGGAAACAAACAAAACAATTCATGAATTAATGCCTGATACATAATTTTGATGTGTTTATTCGCGATTTGATATCTGCTTTACAATTTTAATGCATCTGTTAGTTTTTTTCTATTTTAAAACTAAATTTGTATTACTTTTGAAATGTCCTTTGAGATATTTAGAATTTTTGTTTTCTAAAGATGATGAATCTATCCTACAACTATTTGTTCATATTTTCATGTTCCTAAAACATGATTCTACTATTTTTAATCATTCGTAGTTTTAAAAGATGTTTCACTATATATAAACTAGCATGTTAAAATATAATTAAAAATAAATAAAAGTGATTAATGAATTGAAAATGGTTTTTAGATTTTACATTTTATTATACGAGTACTTGATATAGTACAATTATTTATACTTGAATTTGTCCAGTTATTCTATTATTATATTATTCATATGATGTACCCATCAAACTTTTAAAACAAATTGATGAACATAAGTGATACTAAAATTTGAAAAAATTAGTCTTTTTGTTTATTGAAATTATGCACTTTATGTATAATGAAAACGTGCTGTGATCTTGAGATGGGTGGAAGCGAGCACATAATTTATTTGAAAGAATGTAAGATTACCAAAAGTCTGATGGTCTAATATTGGGGATTGGTTTATTTGTGTTAAGGATTTAAAGTTTAAACTTTATTTGGTATAGAAAATTATTCTTTAAAACGTAATTTCCAAAGACTCCAATTGACATCACTGACTCTAAGGGTTGTAAAATGTTTTGGAGTCTTAGAAAAATTGGTCAATCACATTTTTAAAGCATTATGATATTTAACACTTTCTAAAATCTCTTTCAAAATTTTCTTTGATTTTTTCTACAATCACTTTTTAATTCAATTTTCTCACTTTTCTTTTTTCTTCTCTCTTTTCTCTCGGTTGTGTTTTAGTTTTTGTTACCTTTTAATTTAATTATCTAACATAAATAAATAAAATAATAAATTATCTCTTCTTTATTTTTCCCAAAAAAAACAAAATTCGTCTCACATAATATAAATTTGATAACAACTAAGTTTTAACAAATTAATTGTCACTACTTTTTTTTCTTTCTTTTAAGATCTAATTTACCATATAACTATTTAATTTTTAAATTTATTTATTTTAAAGTTAAGAAAGTTCACTAAAAAACTAGAAACAAATTATTTGTTCTATATATCTATAATCACAATAAAATAAAAATATATAATTTCCATTTTAGTCAAAATAATATTTTTCAAAAAGTTATAATATTTAAAAGTAAATAATTTTATAGTTTTTAATTACCAATCATACTTTAATTTTTTTATAAAGTAATAGTCATACATTTTACAACCCAGGGCTTATAGTCATAGTTTTTACCAACTATTTTCGAATGTGGGTGAAAACTATGAATCGAAGATCTATAACTCTTATAGTTTAAAAAAAACAAAAATATGAGGCTCAAAATAGCTAAAATATGTAAAAAAGATGTGAGTTCGATGCGGTTGATGGCTCCATAATTTTTATTTATATCATTTTTACATTATATTTTTAAATTATCATTTACATTTTAGATACTTTGTTTTTTCCTCTGTTCTACTAATCATTATGGCCAAACGCAAATTAGTTAAAGAATTTTTGGCTCGAGACAAAGATTAATATGTTTAAATATATTCCTCTTTTTTGGATTACAATATGTTTTTATGTTTTAATATTTCATTTTATTTTTCCCAAATACCAATTTAGTAGCATATTTTTAGTTGATAAATTCTGACTATAGTGAATTTTGAAGCATTTTGTTTTTTTTTCCTGTTATCCTCAACGATAACAAGTAACAATCTTACTTTCAAAGGACCTTATTTTTGAATAGTATATACTAATTTACCATAATAAAGAAAAGTAAAAAAGACACGACAATATTTTTGAATAAAACATCCTAATTTATATTGAAATGCTGTTGAATCATGACCTCGTAGTTTCACAGCCTCTAATAACCACACCTTAGTCTCGGTCACGGTCGTAGTCATCAACAAATACTGCTTCCAATCCTCAAGAGCGGCTTTAAGATGCTTTACTTTGTTGTTCAAACCAACACAACAATTTGTATGCATAATATTAAGTATTAACCACGTTGATGTCTCGGCTCGGCTGACAAAACCCACCAAAGTAAACCGTGTCTAAGAACCTCATCGTGATCCCGAGTTCCGCAATGAATGGTTCGTTCTTGATGAAGTTGAAAATATCTTGGTCGTGTCTTCTTGGGAATCTCTAGCTGGAGTTGCACTATATTATAAAAGTCGTGGCATGTGTCCTATACTGATTTATAAAGTTTTCTATTATTTTATTTTTTTTAAACTTTAAGTTTTATATTATTGGGGGTTGGAAATCTTGGGACAGTTGGTTATTGATATGTACACAAAATTTCTTAGGTGAAGAGTTCGACGTTGGAAAAGAACCGGGGAAATGGATCCCGAAGCCATAAGATATATGCATCCTTGTATATTAAAAAAAAGGGCTTTCTGCTAAAAACCCCTCAGATTAAATTATTTTTGCAAGAAAAACCCTCACCCCAAATAAATGCAAGTCAACCCCCTCAACTACAAGGTCACCCGCAATACAGCCCCTCCCTATATCGTCGACGTGGTTTGGTTGAACTTCTGTGAAACCATTTACGGAATAAAAAACGCACCGTATCAAATGAGAAAAACGACATGAAGTTTGCATTAGTTGGTGTGGTTTTCTTAATCGAAAAATGAAACGATGTTGGAGAATTGGGGAAAAGGAACTGTTTAGGTTTTGTCGCGATTTCTTCATAGAACTGGGAAGGGGAAATCAATCTGAGAGCATGTAAGGAGAGTTGAGAGTGAAACGTATATGTGTTGGGTTCGATTAAAGAGATCGTCTGTGTAGATTTTATGGGTTTTGGATATTAAACTAAGAAGGAGAAGAACTTCGATTTCTCTATTGTAATTTGAAAATGAGGTAATTTCTAATCTCTAAGATTGAAGTTTGATTTCTCTAATGTATTTTGGTTTTGAATAGATTTTATCGTCTTCTTCTCATCATTCACTCTGATTCGATTTGTATTGAAACAGTTTCGATCTCTACATTTACGCTAGTGGGTATTGGTCACCTGATGATGCGTATCTTGGTGGAGAGGCACATCCAGCTGGAAAACACTTGGCTGAAGGATTTGGTTTGGCAACGATTCGGATGCTCATAGTCCAGTATCTTGGCTACGAAGAGAACCTGAGCAAGATATCTTGGTTTCCACCAGAGACATCTGCCCCGAAAGAGGATACTGATGATGCTGAGATAATGGAGAAAGTGGTACATTACAGACTAGGGGCAAGTGCGATAACATTATTTGCTGTCCGAGAAGATGATCCTTATATAGGTCGGAGAGCAGGTCTTACAAGTTGCTGGTTATCTGATGAAGAAGAAGATGGTTTGGCTGAAGAAGAAGATGGTTTGTCTGAAAAATGATGATAGAGGTGATGAGGCAGAAATTAGAGAGAACGCTGATTATTTAGGTGATGTTTATGAGAGTGCGAATAATACTGATACCGATTGTGATAGTGATGACAATCAGAGGCGTGAGATAGATGATTGCAAATATAAGAAGTTTGAGATAGGTCAAGAGTACAAGACAATTGATAGTTTCAAGCGTGCGGTGAACAAATACGCAGTGAAAAAGAGAAGGGATATTAGATATAAGAAATCAGATAGAAGACATGTCACAGCAATCTGTTCAGATGGGAAGTGTCCTCGGAGATTGTATGCTTCAATCAACAGTTCTTCAACTCGGGTTGTCATAAGATCATTGCAAGAGGAGTACAATTGCACTTGGCAAGAAAATGTGTTTCTTCTAACGAATGCTAGAATAGCAGATATCTACATTGAAGAGTTTAGGTTGAACCCGGATTTCTCAGCCAATCAGTTGCAAGAGAAACTATTGTCTACAAACATTAATGTTCCATGGACAATATGTGAGAGGACAAAGCTTAGATGCTTGAAGACATTCGATACAGAGCAGTTTGCAAGACTTTTTGACTATGTTCATGAGTTAAAGAGGTGTAATAGAGGATCGAAAGTGGAACTTGAGGTGAGGGAAACACGATTTTATAGATTCTATGTTTGTTTTGCTGCACTGTCTAGTGGATGAAAGGCAGCATGTAGGAGAATCATACATCTTGATGGGACATTTTTGAAATGGAGAATGACTGGAACATTGTTAGTGGCTTGTGGCAGAGATCCCAACGATCAAATGTTTCCAATCGCTTGGGCCATTGTTGATGCGGAGACTAAAGATAATTGGTTGTGGTTCTTAGAGCATTTGACTGAAGACTTGGACTTGAACACAGAAATGGACTGACTCTTGCTAGTGATCAACATCGAGGATTGATTGGTGCTGTGAAAGAGATATTGCCATTCGCTGAGCATAAGATGTGTGCTAGACATATTTTTGCTTATTGGAAGAAGAGTTACTCAGGCGCAGAATTAGAAGACTTCTTCTGGGCTGCTGCCGATTCACACTATCCACAGAGGTTTGAACGAAAGATGAAAGAGATGAAGGAGTAAGATCCTGCTGCGCATGCGGCATTGAAAATATCAACTGCATGTCCATGGTCGAGGTAAATGGTTTAATTCAGTAGCTGAGTTTGATTCGGTTTCATAAGTTATAACTTCTCATATGTTTGATTGAATGTAGGGCTTTCTTCTCGGAGTACTCTAAGTGTGATGCAGTGAAAAAAAATTTGGGAGAGTCTTTTAATGCAGCAATACGAATTGAAAGGACTAAACCAATTGTTGAAATGCTTGAGGAGATTAGGAGAAGGGTCATGATCTCTAATGAAAAAAAAACTCGAAGCCGAGAAAGCCAGAGGTGACTACACTCCTAGAGCAGTATCGTTACTTGAGCAGCAGATAAAGCTAGCTAAGAATTGTAGATCATTACCTTGCGGGATGGGGAAGTACGAAGTGAGCTACTTTAGTGATAGGTACATCGTCCATTTGAGGAATGAAACAAGTTGTACCTGCCGGATGTCCGTCATTAGTGGTATCCCCTGTTGCCATATTGCATCGGCACTTATGCTAGAGAGAAACGCTGAGCAAGATCCAAAAACGTTAATCAGTGATTGGTTTAAGGTGGAGAAGCTTCGGGCGTGCTATGCAAGAAGTTTACAACCAGTTAATGGTATGAACCTGTGGAAAGTTACAACTGATGTTTGGGTGAATCCACCTCCATATAAGAAGCATCCAGGTAGGCCTCCAAGAAAGAAGAGAAAGAGAGAGAAAGGGGAATCGAAGGCTAAACCAGGAAAAGCACCAAGGATAGGAATCAAAATGGTACTTGTGATTATTTGCTTAATGTTTCATGTCGCTTTTTATGTTTCTGGAGACATATCTAAGTGATTTTTTTTTTATGTCTGCAGCATTGCTCAAATTGTGGCTAGGAAGGACACAATGTAACAAAGTGTAACAACCAGCCTGTCTATAAGCCACCAAAGAAACCACCAGGGAGGCCATGCATTAGGCCTATGTCATCTGATGTAGGACTTGATTGGCTTAGTCTTGAAGGTGGCCCTTCTTCTCATCCTGCTGACAATAATTCTTGGAGGCTATGGAATGAAAGTGTTGGTGCATCTTCATCTTCTCAGCCTCCAGAACGTTTCTCTGCCTCTCAGTCTCCAGAACGTGGCTCTGCTTCTCAGCGTGCATGTGGTGGCTCTGCTTCTCAGCGTGCACGTGGTGGGTCTTCTTCTCAGCGTGCACGTGGTGGGTCTTCTTCTCAGCCTGCAGAAGGTGGGTCTTCTTCTCAGCCTGCAGAAGATCTCCCTTCTCTTTCCTCTGCACTCCCACGGAAGAAGCGTGGCAGACCACGTAAGAATCTTGTGGAGGGAAGTGTGCCACCGGAACAGCCTCCCGAACAACAAGCTTCTCGACAGCCGATTTATGACACCGGACCTATTCAGATCCCAAGAGTAAGTTCGCTTTATACCTGAAGCTTGTGTTGTGGTTCACATTTACTTGTTGCAAGAAGGATAAGGTGTGTTGTTGTTCACATTTACTTGTTGCAGGAAGGGTACAGTGTCTTCACTAGTGTCCAGTCAGGGGATGACTACGTTCATCTTGGGAAATCTGTGAGGGACACCAGCGATAACACAATCCTGCCAAGCAGCCTATACAGAGCGAGATAAGCTAAAAAAATATTTGTTGAACGTGGAAGAGCCCAAGGAAACTCAGGAGGAGGCTTTGTGGAAAACTGGTTGTCTTCGTCCCAACCTTGATCAAATGTTGACTTTGTGTTAAGTTAAGCTTTGTTCTCTAAGTGATGTTTTCAAAACAAAACAACTTATGTTTATGGTCATGTTTTGTACTCTTAAGTGATTTTTATGGTCGTCTTTTGTACTCTAAGTGACGTTTATGGTCATGTTTGGGATCTTTTCAAACTGAAAAAGTTGAATCATATGTGATTTTTAGCTGATTTGTATTGAAAAACTTTGTTTAAAATTCAATCTGAAAATGACAATACTTAGAATTCAAGCTGAAAATGACAATACTTATATTACAAACTTAGTAAAATAAACCGACTAGTGACATCACAAACTAACAACCCTCACGCCCACAAACCATCTCGAGCTAACATATAACAGCTTCTCAAAAAAAATCTCGAGCTAACTTATAGCAGCTTCCCACAAATCCATCCAATTGCTCCAATAACCATCACAGCCATCGCAATTCTGTCCATACTAAATTTAGGCATATCTCGACCATCTTTTCAATCCTTACATTCACATTCATGATCTCTTCCTTCATCATCTCTTCCTTCATCTTATCTTTCATCTCTTCCTTCATCTTCTCATTCATCGCTTATTCCATATTTTTGATAATTTCAAAGTTATTCACCATCTCATTTCTCAATTCTTTCACTTTATCTACTAGACTCATCAGCTTTGTATCTACCATTCTTGTCTCCTCAAGCAAAGCTTCGTCTATCCACTTAAAAAGATGCGACTCCATTTTTCTCTACACAACCATTACAACGCTTTCACAGTTCACAACACAATCGAATTTGGTGATAAACCTAATTTTCAATAACGCACTAAAAGAACAAACCTGCATTGCGATCTCGCACCTATAGAACCGCCGACAAGGATTCTTATCTGTATGAGAAACATATGTCCTCAGCTTCATCCCACACCAACATCTCGCTGGAACTCCGGTTACAGACCTACGATGGGGTAAACGAGATGAAGAAGAAGAAGAACTCATGGTTTTACTCTGGAATTTGGTATACGCAGCTCTCGATTTGTCTCTGTTTCTATTTCACTCTCGACCTAAACCTGAATTTCCCTCTCTCAACTTTGACTCAGTTATAGTCAACAAATAAAAATTATAAAGATATAAACTAATTTTCAATGCTTTATACCAGTTAATTCACTTGGCAAGATTGGTAGATAAAGGAAAACTAAGGGTTTCAAGCAAACCGTCGCGGGTTCGAGTCTCTCAAAACACCAACTTTTTTATTTTGACTCAGTTATAGTCAACAAATAAAAATTAGAAAGATATAAACTAGTTTTCAATACTCTATACCAGTTAATTGACCTGGCAAGATTGGTAAATGAAGGAAAACTAAGGGTTTCAAGCAAACCGTCGCGGATTCGAGTCTCTCAAAACATCAACTTTTTTGATTTTTTTTTTTTTTTGCATTCTGAACCTCAAATCCCTAACATTAGTCCCTACTTTCATCAGGCTGAGAACTACACTAATCTATTAAAGATACTAACGAGAACTACTAATGCATTAAAGTGATAACACATAATATTTTAAACATAATGAAGTCATTAAAAACTATAAGTTCAATAAAAACCATAAGTTCAATACAAATAAAGTCACTACAAACCATCAGCTCATTACAAACAAAGTCATTACAAACCATAATCATACTTAGAAATCCCTTTCAATGTTTTCAAAACTAAGGGTCTCTACACCGAGATACAATAATATCATACAAACTGACAATACTAAAACAGCTCCTCTACTTCATATACCAGATAATCAAAGCCATGAATATGACAACAACACTCACCACCACAGCAATCTTGAACTGGAGCTCTGACCTGTGAGCATCCCTCTTCTCCAACTTTTTCATCTTCTCCACCAAATTTGGGTCTCTTATAGTTTCCTTCAGCTGTTCAATCTCTTCAACAACCTTTTGGAGATTGTGGCGAAGTGTCTCCATTTCAGGTCGAGATACAAAACCATTCAAGTTACTTAAATTCGCATCACTCTCAACTTGAACTTTATTTGACAGTTCATCTACTTTCTCAATAAGCACATTGACCTCATCCATCATTGCTGCTTCATCCCACCACTTTCTAATGTGGTGGCGGCCATCCTACACATCTACATAGCTTACAATCCGACCATATATAAGCTAAACCTTAAAAGTTAAGGTAAGTAAACTTACCAATGTGTTATTGCTGTTGCAACAGTAAAATCTTCTTACAGGGTCTGTTCCAGCGTGAGCGGTGGAAATCACAACATCACTACCACACAAACACTTTTGGGGAATCCCGAATCGTCCTTCACGTCGACCTCTGAAGTCACACTTGATCTTGATGAAGAGCTGCTCCAACTGTAACTGAAAGTCCTCCCCATATTTAACCTGAAAACAAGAACAAATAAAGGTTTTACTCTAGAATTTCTATCTTTCAAAACAAATTTGCTCTCTAACACGAATTTTATTTGCTCTCTAACACAAAATATCACACCAACAAACAAAGATTTGTTTTACTTACCAGAATTGCTGGAAATCTCCTTCAATGTTACCTCACCGCGAAACCCTAACAATTTTCCCAATTCATCGACTCAGTGATTTTTGGGGTTTCTTCTTCCTTTAAAACCACACGTGCATTATTACAAATCCGAAACAACATGATTTTTGCCTACACAAAACGCTGTATTTTCAATTCCGTAATCGATATAACAGCTATTTCACGGAAGGGTTGTATTGCAGGCGACCTTGTAGTTGAGGGGGTTGACTTGCATTTATTTGGGGTGAGAGTTTTTCTTACAAAAATAATTTAGTCTGAGGGTTTTTTAGCAGAAAACCCCAAAAAAAACAAATAATATCATTACGTATGCATCACGCATGCGCATGTAAATTAAATTTAAACCTATCCAAACGAAAACTGATTTAAATAAACATTGGTTGGTTTTAAGTGGTCACCTGTAGACCTATGGTTTATAGATTTTGATCCAAAATAATATTTTCAAATTCAAACAAAATCACATATTATTGGATCATTGATTTCAAAAAATTCTATGTTATTGGTATAACTAAATTCAAGTGTTATTCAAAACTAATTGCAAAAAAAAAACGTGTTATTCAAAACTATTCTTTAATAACATTCTTCTAATAAATGTTCAAAAAAAAAACATTCATCTAATTAAACCAAATAACCCAAAAGCAAATCCAACCGTGCCAAACCGAAATCTCAACGCCTAATATAGACAGAATAATATGATATAACGAAACTAAATAATAGGTCGAATGGTCTCCAACATTAAATATAGTACGGGTTAAATTGGTGATACAATTAACTTATTATGATATTGCCTACCGTGACGAGGAAGTTATAGCCAACACCAAGAACTTCCTTTAAAAGATCCATTCGCAGCCAAATGAGTTTCAAGTAACCGGGAGACATGTATTTGTTCCTCCCCGAGCGCTCATCCGAATCAGTGAAATTGATCAAGAAGCAATTAGAATGAACAACCAAACACCGCAAACCGCAATCACATGCTTCAATAACCTCTCGGTCCCGAGTCCGGTCTGAAAACTCTCTAAAAACAAATCAAAAGTAGAGTTTGGAGCGGCCCATGCATTGTTTAGCGTCGTTATAATCACCGTATTGTTTTCCATAGCCGCTTTCATCAGTACTCTTTCTAGTCCCAAAACCGGTTATCTCTGTTTTATCTATTTAACACCAACTCAATATAATTAGGATCAACGTACATATGTGATATTATGACATGTATGTAGCTTAATAGTTTTTATTTTGTTTTGCTAAATTTGTAGCTCAATAGTTTGTATTAATGTCGTTGTTGCGTGGGTTTAAATTCAGTGATATACTAGGTAGCTGGCCCGCATATAATGTGTGGGCATGAAAAATTTATAAAAAATTAATTATTAATAATATATATCATTAATAATAAATAAGTGATTGACCTGTTTTGATAATATATTTATTAAAAAAATTTGTTTGTAAAAAAGCGTTTTAATAGATTTGAGAAATTGAGTCATAGTAAAAAATAAAACATATACAAAAATTTTAAATATTTTTTTAAAAATTATAAAATAAAATAAAATAATTCTTCGTTATTCGTTATTTTCTACTTTTTATTTATATTTTTCATCTTTTTATATATATTTTCTATCAGTTTATGTCCTATTTCTGGTTCGTAATTCTCACTATATAATTGAAATACATTCACATATAATATAAACTTTTGATATTTATTTATAGTGAGACAAAATAAGATGATAATAAAAGTAAAGAAATTCTCTTTCTAAAATTTTGATGCCGCAAAATTTCACACAACAAACAATTGAACTTATAAATATTTTGCTAAAAACTTACTTAAAATAAGATTTCAAAAATTTCCATCAAAAAACAGATTTCACAAATTTCATACCAAAAACATGAATAGGTAACTTTCACATCCAAAAAATTACATCAAAAATATGATCTAAAAACACTTTATCAAAATTTTGATTTTGTGAATTTTTCGCCAAAAAGTGAATTCATAAAAAAAATTCGCCAAAAACTTTACATTAAAAATGTGATTCTAAAAGCTACTAGTCAAAATTTTGATTTCATGAATTTTCTGCTATATAAGTGAAACCATAAATCTTCCGTCAAAAAACCTTATTTAAAAATATAATTTTAAAAAACTTTCTTGAAAATCTGATTTCAAAATTTTTTCGCCAAAAACATGAATTTGTAACTTTCCCACCAAAAATATTTATTTAAGAGTATTTTAATTTGATTTCGTGAGATATCAAAAAGTTTCTCGCTAAATAGGTTGTCACAAATTTTCTGCTAAATATTTGAAATGCGTAAATTTTTTTAGCAAAATTTTTGTGTCGAAATGTAATTTCAAATCTATTTAATAAAAATATAATTTTTCCAAATACTTTAATTTTGTATCAAAATTTTAACATCAAAATTTATTTATAGATTAAATAATGCCATGTTACAAGCCATGTGTACTAAAAACTGACATGTCATAATTACATCATCATTACACATCATCATTTCCATATCACATTAAAATTGCTCAAACTAAACATATTAACCAATCAAATTAAAACAAATCAACATTTTTCATTAAACTACATTCTCAATTAATAGGTAGAGGATATGTTGTTAACAAAAAAAAAGTTCAAGGACGCCGAATGATTTTTCATTGAGGCAACATCACTTGGAGAGGCTTATTCACAGATTTATAGACCAAAAGACAAGAAAGTGCCACGGTTGTGACTTGTGAGTAACAACACGACTCTGATCACATCTCTTTGACTGGTCGAACCGTCAGACCCAATAGATCAAACATTGGCTCTGCCGCCAGGGCCAGCCTGTTCGTAGCCGAAAAAAGAAGAAGAGTCGGTGCTTATGCTCTTCATGGCTTTATTGATTGATTATTTGGCAGACAAACCTCCTTTCTATTTCTCCCTTCAACTATATAATAATCTATAAATCAATAATGGATTAGATATAATCTTTAGCACATAATACTTAATTCCCTAAGTTTTGGGGTTGACATTATGCATCTGAAGCGAACTAGGGGTATGGGCTAGTGATTAAGTCCAGTTATATCCTAGTTTAGCCCTGACTTAAATGAAAGTAACCTCTAAAAGGTAACTTAACTTTTTTTACATAATTGTCGAGTAAATTGGCGATTCAATAAGAAGAGTCAAATTAACGGCTTTCAAATTTGCGCATTTAAACAAATATTTAATCATCTTTTAAATAAATGCGAGTAAGAAACTTAGAGTACGCATAATTTCGGTTCCTGTTCTGTCTCGTCATTCTGTCCAAATAGACTAAAATCAGGATATAATATGTTTTTACTGTGTATAAAACAACTTATTGATTCTGATTTGGAAATGGGATGAGATGGAAACAGAATTTTCTAAAGTTCAATTCAAAAAAAAAAATATATTAAAACAAATTATATATAATATATATATAATTAAATATTTATTTATAATAAATTATGTTAATTTTTTTTTAAAATTGATATTTTTGAAGTTTTTTTTTAAACTTATATTTTTGAAGTTTTTTGTTGAACTTATATTTTTGAAGTTTTTTTCTATTAGTTTCTCAACTTCTTACATATGATATATTATTAAAAATAAATAACTGACGAATCTGTTTAAAATTTTACGAATATCATATTTTCAATAATTTTGGAAATTCCCATCCTATTCTCTAAAATCCCGTCTCGAATTCTCGTTTGCTCACCTCTAAAAGATACTGTAGTAACTAATTATAGTTACCTAGGCTTTAGTATACAGATTATCATGTGCCTCACAAATTATTTTGATTTTTTTGTACTACTAAATTTTGTTAACTAGTTTGACCTAAAAACGTTAGTAAACAAAATAAAATTAAACGGAGCAGGCTTTGTCTGGCCGGGCCTAAACCAGCTGGCTGAAACATGTCCGATGTATGAATTGTATAATTAGGAATACATAATTAGGGTTTGTTACAACATGAGACCGTCGCAGCAATTGTTACTTAAGGGCTCTCTGCTTCCTCCGTTCTTCGGATAGCTTCTTATATAGGGTATATACGCAATTTTTAACCTTATAAAATCGGATGTTTTTTTTTTTAGATACTATAAATACATATGAGATTTAAAGACTTGTTAACATAATCATACACGAAAACAAACTCTCAAAAAGTTTCATAATTTTTGTTGTTCTTTTCTAGCGATCTCTTAGGATGCCAGAAGATGGTTGTGAAGACAAGATCAGTGAGTTATCGGACGACTTGCTCGTGCAGATTCTATTGCTGATCCCAACAAAAGATGCAATGTCCACTATGATATTGTCAAAACGATGGCGTTTTGTCTGGACTATGATTCCTAAACTCAAGTACAAAGAGACCACAAAGAGCGTTTGGTGGTTTCTTTACAACTCATTGCAACTCCACAAGGCACCTGTAGTAGACAGCTTGTGTGTCGATCTCGGTCCAAGGTGTCCTGCTGATGTTGATGTCGAAAAGTTGGTTGCAAAGGTTTTCGATCATTTGGTGCGTAAGCTAGATGATGAGAGCATCGACCAATCGTTTGTACCGGAACAAGAAGAGTGGGAACCAGACGTCGTACCACCAGTGAACGGTTCACCAATGACACGTTCCAAGACCAGAAGGATGCGAGAAGGGTTTAATGAGGCCGTGGAGATACTACTGATCAATATGGACGTGGAAATATTACTAAACCCTCAACCGTACCCCATTGCACCCGTAGAAGACATATCGGAGGGTTTTGCCAAAATGAGCCTCAAGGAGGATCCGCCGGCCACAAACCAAGGTATGACCATTTACTTGACAGGAAATGGAGCTCAAAACCACAAGAATCTCACCAATGCCGTACCGGAGCGCCAAGATACAACCGGATCAAGTCTAAGAGCTGAGAAGACATCAATGGAGCTAGAAGACACTTTAAGCCAGGAACCAGGAGGAACTCTCGAGGAACCACCCCAAATTGACTTCAGAGGATATCAGGAAGATGAGGGCTTCAAGGAACTCGGACAATGCAGCCCAAGACCCGGACCTAAACCACTACTTGCCAACCAAGGTACATGTGCACCAAAACCAGGTATTTTCAGTTTATACGATTTGTGCAGGTAATGAGGCTTGCCTCAGTGGTTCTTAAGCCTTCCAACACGCCAAGGCAACACCAGTTCGAGCCCTTAAGGCATCAAAAAAGTCGGCTTAGTTTTATTTCTTTTAGTTTAAGTGAACTTTCCTTTTTCATGTATTTTTTCCCTTGTGCGTTTTTGCTCTTTTGTATTCTCTTGTTATGTTTTGCTTTTTATTTTCGGTCTTAGGGCTAGCTGACGAGCTGTTTATAAAGCTCTCCTACAGCGTTGTATTTTTGGTTACCCTACATTATCAATAAAGAGGCCGAACTTTCTTCACAAAAGCTTAGCCGCTGCTAGCCTTTGTTCTTGCTTGTTCTTGCGTGTGGATTCACCAAGTTCTAAGTGTTGCTGTATCAGAGAGCCTTCCATACTCTTTGTGGTGCCATCGTCCCATTGCTTTCACCATTCATTGATACTTCAAGGGAGAGCGTTAAAGCCAACTTGATAGATCCCATATCGGCTCAAGACTTGTTTAACAAGCCTTGTTCTACCACCCTTCATCCACTAGTCCGTACGAGAGAGCGACATAGCCAGCGTATTGACTCCATCATCCCATCACTCCCACATTATATAAGCCTCTCATACCGAGTCTTATATCATCTGGTATCAGAGCCGAAGATTCTATCTTCGGTTTTTCTATCCTTTACCTTTTATAGATCCGATTCTAGTTGCACTTGCTTTCATTGTTGATTTGGTTTCTTTGCTTATCCCTTTTGTTGAAAAACCCATAAGAATCGTTACTTGTCTTGCTTAGTTTCATGTTTTTAGTTATAAAAAAAAAACCCAAAAGAATAGATCCGTGTTGCTTGTTTCATTTCCTTGTTTAAGTTGTTAAGTGTTTTCATAAAACCTATAAAAACCATAAAAAAAGTTTTTCCCTTTTGTGTTTGCGTGTTGCTAATTGTCTTTGGTCATATTGCTTGATTATTAGACTAGTTAGTAATCTTTGTTAGTTGTTAATTCGTTGGTGCCTTGACAAGTTTGTTAAGTGTTGCAAGGTTAAGTAGTTTTAACAACATGACCGAGGGAGCAAACGGTGCACCAGTTGACCTCGCCCAAGTGCTAGCAGCCATGAGGGAGGACATGAGAAACATGACCCAACAGATGGGTACCATTCGTCAAGAGTTTGGAGCTTGTCTTGAACAGATTGAAACTCAGCCAAGGAGAGCGGCTGTACGAGGCCCCCCCATACCACCAGTAGACCTGGGAGATGAGTTACAAGACACTGATGATGACAACTTTGATCCTCTCATGAGACGAGGGCAAAGGAGACAAGATTCCCTACAAAGAAACCCAAACCGTGAGGTAAATGTTAGAGATACAACCCATGACATCAAACTAACACCTCCTACCTTCGCAGGAAAATCTAATCCTGAGCTATACTTGGATTGGGAGAGGCGTATGGACCACATATTCGAGTGCTATGGATATCCTGAACGTAAGAAAGTAGCCGTAGCAGCTGCTAACCTCACGGAGAATGCACTTGCGTGGTGGGACAGAACCGTAGCCGAAAGGAGAAGGCAACGGTTTGGCCAAGTGTCAACATGGAGCGATATGAAGTATCTGCTCAAACAAAGGTATGTACCTGAGCATTATCATAGGGACTTACAAAAACGTTTTCGTAAGCTTTTTCAGGGAACAAGGAGCGTAGATGAGTACTTTGAGGAGTTTGAGAAGCTGATGAACTCTTTAGAGTTAGAGGAATCGGAGGAAGCCTTAATGGCTCAGTTATTAGATGGTTTGCAAGAGAGGATTGCAAGGAAGGTGGAGCGGATGCAGTACGCGGGGATGCATGAGTTACTACACTTAACTGTGTAAGTGGAACAACAAATCAAGCGCAAGAACCCCCACTTCAACCGCAACAAGCCTACTCAGTCGTGGGCGTCAAGTAGCTCAAAACCCTTAGATAAGGGAAAGGGTCTAGAGATAGACACTCGTTTTAAGAGCAAGACTACCGAGGCCCCCAAATTCAACCAACCAGAGCAAGGTAAGTTCCCTAGTACTAATCAAAGGTCTAGAGACATAACTTGTTTCAAGTGTCAAGGCAGGAGACACATCTCAAGAGAATGCCCCAACAATCGAGTGATGATTCTCACCCCTAGCGGCGAGTATGAATCACAAGATGAGCTAGAAGAGGACTCGGATGGTGACGAGGGTGGCATTCAATACCCTGACCGAGGAGACCTTCTAGTTACAAGGCGGGTGCTTAGCGTGCTAGTTAACCCCGAGGAGAAAGAACAAAGAGAAAATATCTTTCACACAAGATGTACAATCCAAGGAAAGGTATGTAATTTCATCATAGACGGTGGATCATGTACTAATGTAGCTAGCAAGTATATGGTGGACAGGTTAGTTCTTGAGAAGATCAAACATCCACGACCATACAAGCTAAGGTGGTTAAACGATCAAACCGAGCTTAAAATCTCGGAACAAGTCGTTGTGCCATTCAGTGTGGGAAAGTACTTAGACGAGGTTCTATGCGACGTGGTACCGATGCAAGCGGAACACTTACTGCTTGGGAGGCCGTGGCAGTTTAACCGAGCCGTTAGTCACAACGGACGTACCAACCACTATGTCTTCATGCATAAGGACCGTAAGTTCACTCTTGCCCCACTTAGTCCAGCCGAGGTACATGAGTTGCAAAAACACATGTCTAAGGAGGTTGGGGTAAGTAAAGCTAGTCTCTATCTTTCAGCTAATGACATCTCTAAAACCATGTGTGCCAAGGGCACCGTGCTACTAATGTATTTCAAAGAATGTATAAGCGCAAGATTAGGTGACTTAGAGGTTCCACCAGAAGTACAAGCTGTACTAGACCGGTTCCAAGATGTGTTTCCCGAAGAGATACCACCGGGACTACCCCCATTCCGGGGTATAGAACACCAAATAGATCTTGTACCAGGGTCAGCCTTACCCAACAAACCGGCTTACAGAATGAATCCCACCGAGACTAAGGAGTTGAAGAATCAAGTAAGAGACCTAATGGAGAAGGGATACATCCGGGAGAGTCTTAGCCCCTGTGCTGTACCGGTGCTACTAGTCCCCAAGAAGGATGGAACATGGAGGATGTGTGTGGACTGCCGAGCCATCAACAACATCACCATCAAGTACCGCCACCCTATACCGCGGTTAGATGACATGTTGGACGAGCTAAGCGGTTCAACAATCTTCTCAAAGGTGGATCTCAAAAGCGGTTATCACCAAGTTCGAATGAGGGAAGGAGATGAGTGAAAAACCGCCTTCAAGACCAAAAAAGGGCTGTACGAGTGGTTAGTGATGCCTTTTGGCTTAACCAATGCCCCAAGCACATTCATGAGACTCATGAACCAGGTTCTTCGATCATACATAAGCAAATTCGTAGTTGTTTATTTCGATGATATACTTATATATAGTAAGAACTTAGCTGATCATCTTAAACATCTCGAACTAGTGCTTAAATCACTTCGAAAGGAAGGTCTATATGCCAACCTTAAGAAGTGCACCTTTTGTACTGATCAAATCGTGTTTTTAGGTTTTGTAGTAAGTAAACAGGGATTACAAGTAGATGAGGAGAAGATCAAAGCTATACGGGAATGGCCAACACCAACTACAATCAGCCAAGTGAGAAGCTTCCATGGTTTAGCTAGTTTCTACCGGAGATTTGTGAAGGACTTCAGCACCGTAGCAGCTCCACTTACAGCCGTGATTAAGAAGAATATACCATTCGCATGGGGATCAGCCCAAGAAGCAGCGTTCAAGACACTTAAGGAGAAACTGACCGAAGCACCCGTTCTTGCACTACCAGACTTTGATGAGGTGTTTGAGGTGGAATGTGACGCGTCAGGCTTGGGCATTGGAGCCGTGCTGCATCAGAGGAAGAGGCCAGTAGCTTTCTTTAGTGAGAAACTCAGCGGAGCCACGCTCAACTACCCAACCTATGACAAGGAACTCTACGCTCTGGTCCGGGCTCTAGAGACATGGCAGCACTACTTACTGTCTAAGGAGTTCATCATTCACATTGATCATGAGACGCTGAAGCATTTAAGAGGCCAAACTTCGCTCAAGAGAAGACATGCTAAGTGGTTAGAGTTCGTGGAAACATTCCCTTACGTGATCAAGTATAAGAAAGGGAAAGAGAATGTTGTAGCCGATGCACTCTCAAGAAGACATGCTTTGATATCTACTATGGAGGCTAAGGTGCTAGGATTTTAGCATCTTAAGGAGCTATACAAAGATGACCCGGAACTTGGAGAAGCCTATCAACTACACGTCAAAGACGCTTTCAGTTCATTTTATCTACACGATGGGTTCTTATTCAAAGACAAGCGCTTGTGCATCCCCCAAAGTTTAATGAGGGATTTGATACTTAAGGAGGCCCACGGTGGAGGACTTATGGGTCATTTCGGAGTGGATAAAACACTAGCAATGGTGGCTGATCATTTCTATTGGCCGCACCTTAAGAAAGATGTGGAAAGGCATTGCTCACGTTGTGTTGTTTGTCACAAAGCCAAGTCCAGGTTACACCCACATGGCATTTACTTACCATTACCTATTCCTAACGCACCATGGGTGGATATTTCTATGGATTTCGTGCTAGGTTTGCCTAAGATCCGACACAAAGACTCTATCTTTGTTGTTGTTGATCGCTTTTCAAAGATGGCCCATTTCATCCCTTGTGACAAAACCAATGATGCCATTCAAACCGCCGATTTATTCTTCAAAGAAGTGGTGCGCTTGCATGGTTTACCAAGAACAATTGTCTCTGACCGGGATACAAAGTTCTTAAGCCACTTTTGGAGAACTTTATGGAGAAAGTTTGGTACCAAGTTGTTATTCTCCACCACCTGCCACCCACAAACTGATGGGCAAACAGAAGTGGTAAACCGTACTCTTTCTACTTTGCTTAGGGTTACACTTGGTAAAAACTTAAAAACATGGCTTGATTGCTTACCCTTTATAGAGTTTGCTTATAACCGTGCTATTCATTCAGCTACTAAGATGTCTCCCTTTGAAGTTGTTTATGGTTTTAACCCACTAACCCCTCTTGACCTCTTGCCAATTCCCCAAGTTGAGCAAATTAATTTAGATGGCCTCAGGAAAGGAGAATTTGTCAAGAGGCTTCATGAGAAAGTTAGAGATAATATCTTGAAGAAAACAGAAGCTTACAAGAAGCAAGCGGACAAGAAGCGCAAGGCCTTAACATTCGAGCCAGGAAAATGGGTCTGACTTCACATGAGACCTGAAAGATTTCCACATAAACGAAGTTCAAAGCTTGCCCCTAGAGGAGATGGCCCGTTTCGTATACTAGAGAAGATCAATGACAATGCGTATCGTTTAGAGTTGCCAGGTGAGTTCAACATCTCTCATAGTTTTAATGTCACTGATTTATCTCCCTATGATGCAGGTAAGCCAATTTTGAGGACAAAACCTCTCGAAGAGGGAGGGAATGATGAGAGCATCGACCAATCGTTTGTACCGGAACAAGAAGAGTGGGAACCAGACGTCGTACCACCAGTGAACGGTTCACCAATGACACGTTCCAAGACCAGAAGGATGCGAGAAGGGTTTAATGAGGCCGTGGAGATACTACTGATCAATATGGACATGGGAATGTTACTAAACCCTCAACCGTACCCCATTGCACCCGTAGAAGACATATCGGAGGGTTTTGCCAAAATGAGCTTCAAGGAGGATCCGCCAGCCATAAACCAAGGTATGAACATTTACTTGACAGGAAATAGAGCTCAAAACCACAAGAATCTCACCAATGTCGTACCGGAGCGCCAAGATACAACCGGATCAAGTCTAAGAGCCGAGAAGACATCAATGGAGCTAGAAGACACTTTAAGCCAGGAACCAGGAGGAACTCGCGAGGAACCACCCCAACTTGACTTCAGAGGATATCAGGAAGATGATGGCTTCAAGGAACTCAGACAATGCAGCCCAAGACCGGACCTAAACCACTACTTGCCAACCAAGGTACATGCGCGCCAAAACCAGGTATTTTCAGTTTATACGATTTGTGCAGGTAATGAGGCTTGCCTCAGTGGTTCTTAAGCCTTCCAACACGCCAAGGCAACACCAGTTCGAGCCCTTAAGGCATCAAGAAAGTCGGCTTAGTTTTATTTCTTTTAGTTTAAGTGAACTTTCTTTTTTCATGTATTTTTGCCCTTGTGCGTTTTTGCTCTTTTGTATTCTCTTGTTATGTCGTTTTGCTTTTTATTTTCGGTCTTAAGGCTAGCTGACGAGCTGTTTATAAAGCTCCCCTGCAGCGTCGTATTTTTGGTTACCCTACATTATCAATAAAGAGACCGAACTTTCTTCACAAAAGCTTAGCCGCCGCTAGCCTTTGTTCTTGCTTGTTCTTGCGTGTGGATTCACCAAGTTCTAACTGTTGCTGTATCAGAGAGCCTTCCATACTCTTTGTGGTGCCATCGTCCCATTGCTTTCACCATTCATTGATCCTTCAAGGGAGAGCGTTAAAACCAACTTGATAGATCCCATATCGGCTCAAGACTTGTTTAACAAGCCTTGTTCTACCACCCTTCATCCACTAGTCCGTACGAGAGAGCGACATAGCCAGCATATTGACTCCATCATCCCATCACTCCCACATCATATAAGCCTCTCATACCGAGTCTTATATCACTAGAGTTCGATCTTCGCTGGTCCGGAGATTCAATCAGCTTGCCTAATAGCCTTTATACCTGCGAAACGCTTCTAGACTTGAAACTTTCCAACAAAATTCATAAATTTTCCTTCTCAAGGTTGTCTCCCATCACTCAAAAAGCTAATCCTAAGTTCTGTGGTCTATAAAGACGAGGCTTCACTCGAAAGGTTATTATCGAGCTGCCCTGTTCTTGAGGAACTGCTTGTGAAATGAAGATTCGATGACAATGTGACAAATTTTTGTGTGAGGGTGCCTACTTTATTGTTCTTATCGTATGAGAATACGGTGAGTAGAAAAGCTCCTAATATGTGCTTGTTTCTAGATACTCCGGCATTAAAGCACCTTATCATTGATTCTTGGGTGGAAGACTATTTCTTCATCGAGAATATGCCTTGTCTTGATCTTGCAGATATCACATTCAGTATATTTATATGTGAATCTATTGACCAGTCTCTAAGATCTCTTTCATCGGTCTTGTCTCTATCTATCGATGATGTTTCGGTAACTCTCTCTCTCTCTCTCTCTCTCTCTCTCTCTCTCTCTCTCTCTCTCTCTCTCTCTCTCTCTCTCTCTCTCTCTCTCTCTCTCTCTCTCTCTCTCTCTCTCTCTCTCTCTCTCTCTCTCTCTCTCTCTCTCTCTCTCTCTCCACACATTGCTTGTGGTTTACGTTTTGTTTGTTTTCATCGCAGCTTAGGTACAGTAGCACTATCAACTTCTCTCGACTCGGAAAGTTACGTATATGTCCAGATGACTCAGATTGGTTGGAGCCACTCATGGTTGTACTTGGGAATTCTCTGATACTAAAACATCTTGTGGTTGACTATGTACGTATCATCATACTCATCGTCCTCTTCTTGTTTTGATGGATGACTTGAAAATTAGTTAAACAATCGTTTCATATATAATGCGTCTTGCTTCGCAGGCGATTGTCGATCTCGAGGATATGGCACTCTCATGGAACCAACCAGATTCAGTTCCAAGTTGTTTGTCTTCCCATTTAGAGATCTTTGAGTGGATGGAAGGATACGAAGGAAGAGTAGAAGAGAAAAAGTTCGTGACATACATCCTAGCTAACTCCAAGTGTTTAAAGAGAGCGACAATCATCTTTAGTAATACCTTCGATCTTGACAGGAGACGGAAGGTGATGGAGGAATTGGAATCTATTCCTAGAGTTTCGAAAGCGTCTCAGCCTTTTTTTCAGATGAAAAATTCTTAATTGCTACTCTTTATGTCGTTACCATTTTGACGCAGAGAACCATATCTTTTTATTTAAGATATAGTACGTTTTAGCATCATATCCTCTTTTGGCGAAATAGTAAATCGACGCCGTCCATTTAAGGAGTTGACTGTTTACAGTTTTTGAAATGGTTTTTGGTTTTTGTTTTTCAAAAACTACTTTTTAAGCCATTCAGGTTTTTGTATAAATAGATTTCCTAAATTATAAGGAAACTAGTTTTTACAGATTTTGTGTTTTTGTGAACAAAAACCAAAAACTTGTTAAATGGATTGTGATTATCCATTTGTTTTTGTCTTTATACATTAACATATTAAAGGATAATGCTTATCCACAAATTTTAGATAATGCTTATCTATATATTTTGCAACGTATAAATATACGAGAGACTTTTAATAATATTTAATATAATATATCATATTTTATATTAGAAAAAGAAATTTATAATATAAATATACATTTTAGGAGAAAAATAACATTATAATATAGAATAAACATAAATATAATATTAATATAAATATAACAAAAATTAAAATCAAATTTATAGATGCGCAACGTGCAGACCACAATCTAGTCGTATATATAATTAGCAAAATATCTCTGCGTCTAAGGTATCCACATCAGCATAATTTTTTTTTAAATAAATTTTTAAATATTTTGGATTTTGTTTTAAAATTCTTAAATTTTGGATATTTATTTTTGGGCTTTTAATATGATTAACTTGAAATTAAAAATAAATACTTATTTTACAAATCATAAAAGTTACAAATTTTTCATTTGTGAAAAGGAGTTTGGAAAGTAACCAAATACAAAAGATTACAGAAAAACTTACAGAATATAATTATCAAATTTTATAAAAAAAACCTTAAACAGATCTATATATAAAGCTAAAGTAAAACTATTCAAATAAAACAAATACTTATTTTAAAAAATATAAAAATTAACAATTCTCTTTGAAAAAAAATGTTATTTCGAATATAAACAAACAGAATTTGAAAAAAAAATTGGAAAGTGAACAGCTACGAAAAATGACAAAATAACTTGCTGAGAATAGTTATCAAACTTATTAAAAAAGGTTTGAAAATATTAATGCTCGAAACTAAAATAAAACCGAACATCTACTTTACTGTATAAAATGAATGAAAGTTTTTCATAAATAAATAAAAATAAAATGTTTAATTATATAGCATAGATTTGAATTTGATTTATACTAAAGAGGAAAAAATGACAAATACTTATCAACCATTTTTTCTCAATGATGACAATATAAAATTGATATTTGATCACTTTACTCATCAGCTAGATAATATATGAGTTTTAATATAAAATATATTAATAAACTAAAATAAGATTATTGATTATAATTTTTAACGTAGTCATGCTGTTTATATTCACATGATATGAAAATAGACAAAAATATTCTCACACATTCACAAATATAGTGAGGAAGTTCATCATTGAAAAAAGGCGCTTTAAATCAATTAAAATCAACAATGTATCAAGTAAGCATAATTTTTTTGATATAAAACTCCATTAAACCTGTACTGTTTGAATATCTCTCTTGCTCTGCCTAGCCAACTTTAACTAAAATTCTTCTTATTTAGAGTTATAACTGATCACAGAACTGAATGAGATGGAAATCTGTATGAAATAAGAGAAAAAAATCCAAGTAGATTCTAATCAGAATAACGAGACTGAGAGTTATAAGAAAAAAAAACAAATAGAAGAAAATGAGTTAGATTTTTTGAAAATCGATAAAAAAATAAGAAGAAATTTAGTTTAGAGTGGAGAGGGATCGATGATAATTTCACTTTGTTGATCTATAAAAATAAGATGTAAAAAATGAAAAATCAATTGAATACATAAAAAACAAAAACAAAAACACAGATAATACATATTGCAGTGTATAAATATATGAAATATTTTTTTAACAATTAGTACATCATAATCTATATTAGAAAAATAATTTTACAAATATATATATATATATTAGGGCAATAAAAACACTTAAAAATAAAAGATAAATATAATACATAATAATATTAATTTAACAAATATATATAGTAATATAAATTTATAATTTTTTAATTAGATAAATAAGTACCCGCAATGAGCGGATAAAATCTGGTGTAAAATATGCATAAGATCTCATTGAAAACGCTTCAAAGCTCAGTGAAATAATATTTTACATAGTGTCGTGTTTACAGTTTCAGAGACCTACGATTAATTAAGGTAATGTGATTTTTTATTTAAACATAAATTTCTTAATATAGAAGAAAAAAATTACTTTACCATAAAAAACAAGAAATCACATCGTACGTAATGGAAATGTTAAGTTGGATCCATATATATATAGATCACACAACTAATAATTGTCTAAAAAGAAATCGAATATATATATATTTAAATTTAGTCATATTGAACAATGAAAACATTGATTAAACTAACAATTTTCAATCTAAATGAGATGTGGCCTAAGGCAAATGCCTCTTTGTAAAAACAAATTTGGCTTGATTTAATTAGCTTAATACTAGTGTTTAAGTTATGAGTTTAACCCTTCAATCATGTAAAACATTACCCTCCATTTCATAATATTAGATATTTTATATATATATAAAATCGTCTCCCAAAAAAAAAACTTATTATATATTTGCATTTCTTATTCTATATTTATAGATATCATAACTAAACAAGTATATATTGTTAGGTGCTACCAAAAAAAATTAATATGTACAGAAAAATATAAGACATCTAACATTATGAAACGGAAGTAATATGCCATGGATTTTACATTGTGTCATGTTTACAGTTTCAGAGACCTACTATTAATTCAGGTAATGTGATTTTTTATTTAAACATAAATTTCGTAATATAGAAGAAAAAAATTACTTTACCCTGAAAAACAAGAAATCACATCGTACGTAATGGAAATGTTAAGTTAGATCCATAGATATATAGATCACACAACTAATAATTGTCTAAAAAGAAATCGAATATATATTTAAATTTAGTCATATTGAACAATGGAAACATTGATTAAACTAACAATTTTCATGAAATTGTGGCTGTAAAAGTATCTAAATGAGATATGGCCTAAGGCAAATGCCTCTTTGTAAAAACAAATTAATATGTACACAAAAATATAAGACATCTAACATTATGAAACGGAAGTAATACGCCATGGATTTTACATAGTGTTGTGTTTACAGTTTCAGAGACCTACGATTAATTCAGGTAATGTGATTTTTTATTTAAACATAAATTTCGTAATATAGAAGAAAAAAATTACTTTACCCTGAAAAACAAGAAATCACATCGTACGTAATGGAAATATTAAGTTGGATCCATATATATAGATCACACAACTAACACTTGTCTAAAAAGAAATGGAATATATATTTAAATTTAGTCATATTGAAAAATGGAAACATTGATTAAACTAACAATTTTCATGAAATTGTGGCTGTAAAAGTATTTAAATGAGATGTGGCCCAAGGCAAATGCCTCTTTGTAAAAACAAATTAATATGTACAGAAAAATATAAGACATCTAACATTATGAAACGGAAGTAATATGCCATGAATTTTACATAGTGTCGTGTTTACAGTTTCAGAGACCTACAATTCATTCAGGTAATGTGATTTTTTATTTAAACATAAATTTCGTAATATAGAAGAAAAAAAATTACTTTACCCTGAAAAACAAGAAATCACATCGTACGTAATAGAAATGTTAAGTTAGATCCATATATTTTACTAGGAGTTGGACTTCTCCTTTTTCTGACAGCAACAAAAAACCAATATATATTTAAATTTAGTCATATTAAACAATGGAAACCTTGATTAAACTAACAATTTTCATGATATTGTGGCTGTAAAAATATCTAAATGAGATGTGGCCTAAGGCAAATGCCTCTTTGTAAAAACAAATTTGGCTTTATTTAATTAGCTTAATACTAGTGTTTAAGTTATGGGTTTAACCCTTCAATCATGTAAAACATTACTCTCCATTTCATAATATTAGATATTTTATATATATATATATATATATATATATATATATAAAATTGTCTCCAAAAAAAAAACTTATTATATATTTGCATTTCTTATTCTATATTTATAGATATCATAATTAAACAAGTATATATTATTAGGTGTTACCAAAAAAAATTAATATGTACAGAAAAATGTAAGACATCTAACATTATGAAACGGAAGTAATATGCCATGGATTCAGTCGCATGGATATAATCAAAGCACAGTACCACAGAAAATATTCAAATCGCATGGATTCAATCAAAGCATACTACTATCCTCCATATAAAATCTATCAACCAACCCTTAATGATGTATAATTTAGGATAAACAAACAAGAACAAATCTTTTCCCAAAAGAGCATAATCATTTTGCAACACTAACTGTTTCAAGAATCAAAAATCAAAAGTTAAGATGGTATATTCCGATCTGGTACCAGGAAAGCCAAGAATCACAATCGTTCTTAACAAGAAATGAACAACACACGATAGTATAACCAACCAAAATGCAAGAAACTATGTTCATCTACCACAGATCCAATTATAATCTAACAAAAAGCTAGAAAACTTCAGAAAACATTACTTTTTATCAATATATAATCGAAAACTACAGATAACATTACTCGAGATGTACAGAAAACTAGATTTAGTTCCCTAACAACAGACAGAAAACGAGATTATGTACATAAACATCTTGCATCGTAATAGCGAGTCAAGAACTTCCAAGTCTACATACCACCTATTATAGAAAACTGCACTTCGTATAACCGAACATGTAACACATTTAGTCGACCTAAAAATAAGAGAAGATCATCATAGCACCTATACCACGTGCCTACAAGTGGACCTTAGCTACTGCTAATTTCTTGATTTTGACATCAATCATAGAATGGAGAAAGATCAATTGCACATTCTAACAACTACACCAGTGATTTCCAAGCTTCATCAA